ACCGAATTTCTTGTTTTCTTCATAGTAACGGCGTGTCCCTCAGGAACAGCGATAGCCTCCAAGCGAAATTTTCGCGTCTTAGAATCGGAGACTTCGAAAGGACAGTCTTCACCGGAAAATTCTTAATCCTGATAGCCTCTCTGGGTTATTCCTGATTAACGTAAGAGACTGAGCCATATAAAGCGATTCTGAGAGAGTGGTCAACAGCTGACCACTCCAGCACCAAAATCCTCCCCCTCCTCCCCTCACCCCCATTTTGAAGTGATTTAGAAAACTGGTAAAGAGTAATCGGCTCCTACTTAGCCCTAATCTCTCTCATCATGACAGAATAAGGATCCTATTTGCGTTGATGTGTGGGCCTCATCCGAGCCAAGTGGGCTGCCGACCATCACAATTGACCTCACCGGAGTACAACAAGTGTAAATAATCGAAAGAGCACTTCAAGTCAATGATAAAATATCGCTACACACATAATCCATAATCGATCTATGTCGGTTTTAGCTGATCGATTTTTCCGTAGAAAAACCAATTTCGTTCTGAAAAATCAATGGTACAACCATACCTCGGCACATGTCTCCTCTTTTCATAGCTACCGTTACGGCAGAACCAGCGATTTCTGTACCGTAATTCACGTCAACACACCAACACTGGCGCTGATCACATTGAATTGGCATGAACTAAAAACACGAATACAGGCTGAATGAGCATTCAAACGGCTCTACAATATGAAATCATAGTGGAAAGCACGGCGCATCCTAAAAAGATTGATTGATGTAAAGCAATTATCATTACAATGACATTATCTACCCTTCACTGCCTCAGTCTTCAATATCCAGGCCAGATTCTGATCGAAACTTTCCCACTGGCAATCTTGAGTGAAGTTATGTATCCGGGGGTAGTGCAACTACTCCCCCCCCCCCCTCCCCCGAGAACGAATATTGCGTCTCCTTGGCTCAAAAAATCTCGCACACGGCCGATGCGAAGACACTTAAGAAGATCAGAAAAAGTGAGAGCCTGGCAGCAGGAGTACTTCTGAAGAATGTGAAGCTATCCGTGGGGACAACAAAATGGCCCCCTGGAGAGGTTTTTGTTCAACATCTCACACCTTTCAACGATCCCCAGGTACTTTTAGGAATGAAGCTATTTACGCTTCTTGCGTTAATCGTCACACTTAGGAACGTATTCATTGTGTAGACTCTGATTGGGAAGTTTCTTGACTGCTACAACAAGATGAATGCAATCTGAAATCAAAAGCGTTTCAACATGCAGAGAACTCTTCAAAATCGTCACAACAGCACGTGCGCATAAAATCAATAACGACCCTTTAGCATGGTGTGGTCCGCAAATCTGCCAATACGAGATAGAAATGGGGGTGACATAATTTTCTTGTTTTCAGCGCGCACATGAAATCAATAACTGTCCTCTTGTCTGTCCAGGGACTGGGGAAAACTGTGGCGGGAAGGCCAATGTTCGTTATCGCTTTCTTTTCGTCTATGAATGCGCGTAAAATCAATAACTGTTTTCTGACCACAGAAATTATTTAGAAGTATCGACATCCGTAAATTACTTTTTTATAACCCACAAGACCCCACGCTCACAGGCGAATAAAAACTATTGAAAGCGAAATTTCAAAAAAAGTCAATAATTAGCTCTAAAACACATACTTGTCGCCTTCGTTGGGTCAACACATACTGATCCGCATGCGTTCTTGCAGCATTTTTCCACATCCGGGCATTGCTCATCATCGCTGCACTTTGTATAGGCTTCAAATAGGAGAACTTCTCAGCGAAGGGATATTCAAATTTATTTTTACCGGTGCTGAGGAAGTTTGGGGGAGGGCGGGAATATACGTGTTGGTCCGGCCTTCTCTGCTGGTCTGCGTCCTCTCACCGAAAGACTCCCTTCCTCCTGGGGCTTTTTCATAGAGCGCAGACAAACACAGTTGACAGCTACAGCTTCGTCTCGCCGTATACCCTCCCCAGTTCCCTCAGCACCTTATTACTAATTAATATTGTATGAATTATTATGTTTAAATATATAAACATAACTCGATGTGGCGGCACGACTTTCTGTGCTCGTCTGCGTCCTCTCACCCGGATGTCTCAGTGAGAGGACGCAGACGAGCCGGGAATGTCGGGCTGCCAGCTACCACATATTCCATTGCCCAAAGTGTAGGGTCTAAAACTGACCGCTACATGGCAATTCGTCTCCGGCTGGTGGACACGTTCCCGGTTTGTCTCGTTTCACAGAAATCGGGCTCAATTGCTGGACAGGTGATTTATCTGAAAAGCCCGAAATAACTCCTTAACGTCCAACAATTATCGATTGATCGTCTCTAAATCAATAACAGACCTATATGAAAAACAACTGGGCTAATGGTGGTGTTGACGATGGCTGGAATGACAACCTTGGCGCTATGAGAAACTGGATGAATTCCACCGAAGGCAGTAATCAGATTGTGGAATGATTTGGCTGGAAAGGATGTATGGTGAAAAAACTAGGTACTAAAAACCTTGGGGGGGGGGCCACACTTGTCGGTGCTTGTCAGCATACCAAATCCTGTAGACTGTTTACATGTAAGCACCGGATGACCTTGGCGACATCCTGCAAGCCTTGTTACCACCTCTCAAGCGCCCTGTGAACTCCTGTCAAACTGTCAAAATGGCCAAACTTGAAAGCTGGCTCCGAAATATCGGATATATACCACTACGCAGCTTTAGGTCTTGACAGGAGTTTGAAGGACTTACACGATGAGGCAGGACTGCTCGGTTTTTACATGTATGCGGTTAACACGACTTGGCAGCGCACGAATGCCGAACGCTCACAAGTGCGGCACCCCCCCCCCTCCCGGAGCCTGAAAATGCTTTTTGTAAAATGTCGTATCACATAGTATCACATAATATCACTTCATATCACAAAATCTTATCGTAATGTACAATACAATATTTTTTAATGTTTTTCACAAATTGCAAGAGAGGAAGAGAAGATGACACCAACCGTCCACTGGTCGAATCGGCTCGATTTCACTTTGAATCGGGCCAGTCCCCGCTGGTAACATACACTCACGGCCGCATCCATTCGAGCAGCAAATGTGCTTTTCTAAACAATCATTACCTTTGGGTAGCCAATTTTTCCAACATAAACACCATATCCCGGAAATGGAAAGGGCGTGGCTGCGTGCTTCATTCGAGAATGGCGGCGGCCGCTTTCTAGGTGGGCTACTGCGGTTTCAGGACATTCTTTGTCTAGTACAACTCAGAACGACAGCTGTCAAATGAAAGTATCCCAAGGGAAGCGCACTCTACTTCACGTTCCAAAGAGGTGTGCAGCCACGCCCTACCCATCCTCGGGATATGGGGTGAAATTGGGGCCAAGTAATTGAATTTAGCAGTTGTAGGTCACCGGCTCAATTTCGAGGCCATTTCGTGTTACTGGGGTAGTGCAGTCCTCTTGAGCGGTAGAAGGCATGCCTCTGGTGACAGTAGCGCCATTTAGGGCACAGGCCACGTAATCGTAAGGGTAGAGCCAGACTTCATTGTGAGCTCATTGACGCACTCCCTCTCCCAACCAGGCTTGAAGGGGGGCAGGCGGGCGAGGGGGGAGGGGTTGTACCAGTGCGATAGCACAATGATTGACTGACACCGCCCCAATGTTTACCCTTAGCTGCTTCTTCTAGTATGCTGCCAATTCAGCTGTAATATTTTCGAGGGTTTCCAATACGGGACATCCAAAGGTGACTCACTCACCAGACACAGGAACACAATTCCTTTCCAGGGTCCCAGTTCGCAATCTAGACCACATTTACGTTTTCAAAGGCACGTCTCAAGAATCACCTCAAATGAGACTAACTCAAGCCCATGAAGCTGGTGACTTCCGAACTTAATGCCCTTCTCCCTTCCCGCTGGAGGAGGCGCTAAAGCTCACAGGCCGCGAGCTGTTTCTTATGTGAAGCCAAAGCCATTTCAGAGCTATAGCACTTAGACATTTTAAAAACTCTTTAAAGGCTCTAGAGACAACAACAGTAAACA